GATTTTACCTCAGTTTTTTTTTTTAATTCTTAATTTGAGATTAAATGTGGTGACATTTTACCCTGAGTTTGGATTCAGGTTCACTCTGATAGTTCTAGAGAAGATCCCGTATCCCAAACTCCTGCTGCATAACCAGCATCTTCACATTGTTTCAATATAATCCGGCATTAAAGAAAAATCCATTCCGTACAGCATCAACGACTGTTTTAAAATGAGAATGGATTGTCTTGCTATGAAGCCCGAAACATGGCCATGCATTTCAGAAGGGTGCTTAGAGGTAGGCTACATAGATTACTTTTACTACAGTAATCTGTTTTCAGGATGTTTAAATGAGCACGCCACCTAGTCATAAATTCAGATTACTGTAGCAGGTGAGGGACGCCAGAAAAAGTTCATGCTGGAGTTACAGGTTAAAGGCTTTTAGAAAGGAAGAGAACACGCAGAAGCAACAGTTGACCCGGAAGAAGACCTTCACCTGTCTAAATATGAATTTATTTCTCGGTCAAATAAGATCACATAGTTTTGGTGGACACTGTCTCCTGGCTGGTAACACTTTGACGGTGCGCCCCAGAACGACACTGGGTTAAGTGCTCCCATAAAGACCCATATGTTTCCTGCATGTTCTCGTTCAGGATTCCCACATGTAGCATAAGTTGCTCATGCCCGACTTCCATAGCGACTAGGTCAGAATCCAAAATACACCTTCAATTCAATTTCCTTCAAAAACGTGGTTCAGAGTGGGGTGGGGGGTGCTTAATGACTACACGAGAGGCCCAATTTAGTCATCATAGGTTGCTTCCTGTGAAGGTCCCATATACAGTCTGCATGGGTTTCAATCTGGTTTCACCAGTGTTGCATGAGAACAAAAAAGGCTGTTCGAAGCAATTTTGCTAGTTATTTACATGACTACTTCCTCCACCAGTTTATCGGCCAAGCTTTCGATCCCATCTGGACAACATTTGTCAGCTGAGGATTTGTGTACGCATCACATCAGGTATAAATCAAATGTTTTGAAATTCGAAAGTAACGGACGAAAGAGCAACAAAGAAAAATCCAAGATTCGTGAGAATAATTGAATGTGAATTCACATCAGCTTTGTTCCAAAAATATGTTTTTCAAAAAAAATTAAAAAAAAGAGCGAGAGAGAAAAATTAACCAGATCTTTGATTCATATTAGGCCTCCTATTAGCAACAGATGAAGCTGGCTGCTAAAACGAGTGGCGTTTGGATGTGGAAATGATATGTGTAAACTATGTAATGCGAATGTTTTAGCTAAGCTGTGTTTAATTTTGTACCCTGATGAAGTGCATGAGAAACCTGTCTCCCCTTAGCTGTCTCATTGAATCATATGGATATAATTTCATCCATTTACGTTTTTCTGCTCTTTGCTGTGGTTGCCAGGGGGCATTTGGAAACAGGCAGATTAAAGGCACATGTTCGCTTTCGCCTGTAGTTTTTAGCCACTCCGTCTGAGCTCCGCTGTTCTCCGTGCCGAAAGACGTGTTGGCGGTTTCTTTTTTACAGGTCACAGTTACTCCAGGCGCTCAGCGGTAAACCTCGTAACACCTCTCGTTCTCCAACAGGAACCTGAATCGATTTCGTACAAGTGCTGATCACAGAACATCGCCATAACCCGCAGACATTGCATATCTGAGAGCGCTGAGGCAATTTGGATGTCACAACGAATTACAGAAAATGTGTCTGGGTGTAAGAAAAGTCATGGTGCTCATTAAAATTTGCCTTTCAGCCAACTAATTACGAGTAATAATGTATTTAATGCTTGTTAGTTGCTAAAGGTTTTAATGTCAAAATAAACGCAAGCCTGAGGGAAGGTGAGATTGGTAGTTACAGTATAATGGGGAAATATGTTTTATGTTTCAGAGCACCTCTGAATGTTAACGGGAACAGCGGTGGACCTTTGACTCCATGGGAAAGAATGTGGCCTGAATGCAATTTCCATAATAAGCACATTTTCTCTTCCTCTCAGTTCATTTCATTCCATCAGAGCGCAGTGCGACGTCAATAAGCGACACGACGTGGCCTTATTTTTACGTGTGCCATAATGGCTGGCTTGTATTCTATAGGTATTTAAGGGTATTAATGAACTGTTTTTTCTTCCGAGTGCTTGTGTACACTATGGGCTTTTAGCTGCCCGATGCCTCGTTGGACGTTTTCGGCCGCAATCATGCTTCATTTCCCATATAGTCATCAGGTTAGGGTTCGCGTGGCCCGTAATCATCCATGATTGGCTGTGCGCCCCTGACAAAAATGTCAGCCCAAACTGTCACTCTGTGTGTATACAGCAGATCCTGAGGCCCACTTCGGAAAGATGGCGTCAAATGACTTACCACCATCCACTTTCGACGGTTATCACTCTGTTTACCCTCACACAGGCCTTCAGAGGGGAAAGCTAAACACGTTTATGGCAATTAATGTGATTAGCGTGCTAAACTGTTTTTACAGATAAAATCAAAGGGTTGTGGAGACTTAGGAGCTGTCATAGTTGGTTTATAGCGGTTGGTTTAAAATGCGACGTATATTTAGCGTGTTTGGAGTCTCACGTTTCTCTCTGATTTTTATGATAAACGTCTGTGTGTATCTCAGAAACTTGACATTCCTCGGTTAACATTTGGGGATGTTTTGATAGATGTTGACGTCAGTTGTAAAACCGGTTGCATTAGAATTATTTGGAAAATAATGTTCAGTGCTTGGCAAATACAGATGCATTTTTGCGCTATTATACAAAAGAGAATGTTGTGTTCTATAAAAGTAGAAAAAAAGCCTGAGATAAGTGGAGAGACAATGAGAGACATGAGTAGTGAGAGAAAGAAATTCCTCCCAGTCATGTGGATTAAACTCTGGCAGATTGCTGTGTTTGCATGGCATCCCAGAATGCATAGCTGTGTTTGAAAGGTATCCCAAAATGCTCTGCACCTCGTTCCATTGGCAGCCGATCCTCACGCTAATGGCGGGCTTTACGCGATTAGCAGGATTCTCTCTGTGGACCCATAAATTCAATTTAGCCTGAAATTTGTATTACGTTAAAAAAAGCAGTGAAAGAATGATGATTTCCCCTATACATAAATCCACACATTTAGGACATTGTTTTGAAAACTCAAGGTTTCGAGACGTATTTTAGGAGTCAGTACAGGGCATATATCTCAAACTTGCCTGGATTTCAGGGACTTTATTACGCTCTGTGTTGTGGGTATGTTCAGACAGTTTTCATGCTGTGGAATAATACAGGCACAAGTTTACATTGTGAGGTTTGCACGTCCAAAAGCCCCATGCAGTGTCTCAACCACTGTGTCGCTCCATTGTGTGAAATTAATGTGTAAAAGTGCGTGACCGATTGCAGTATGGATTGATATTCCTTTCACAAACCCCACATCTTATCTCTGCAATTAATTCAACTTTAACTACTTGACATAAGAACTCCAATAAAACTTCGTTTTGTAGATAAATTCTGTTTTATGTAATATATAAACTTTTATGTACTTTAATAAGAAGTTTGATTTATGGATGTTTATACTATAAAACTTTTGGCACTTTTGAGTTTGGACACATTAAATTGATCAAAAGCGGATGCAATTTTTTCAATTTATAATGCTGCAAAAGATTTCTTTCTATTCATCAAAGAATCCTGAAAAAATGTATCACAGTTTCCACAAAAATATTAGACAGCACAACTTTTTAAAATATCATAAGAAATTTTTGCATCTAATATGCAATTAGCATAATAGAATGGTTTTTGAAGCATTATGTGACACTGAAGACTTAAATAATGACTGCTGAAAATGTACATTACCAGCATAGGAATACATTTCATTTTAAAATAATGTCATTTTCACTGCTAGCATTTTATGTTTATCCTAAATAGAAACGATTGAGGCATATTTCCACACTTTTGCATATATTGACAAAATTAAAGCTCCTCGAGAAGTAAAACTGTAAAAAAATATTGTAATCGTCGAAAAATTGAGAGAAATAATTTTCACACTAAATCATTTAATTGTTTACTCTTTATTTATATTATCATAGTTTTACACATAATAATTATTTTTTATTATGGATTTTTTTTTTTTTAAGGTTAATAGTCTGAGTCTGGACTTGCGGCAAAGTGTCTGTGATGTGACATTTCATTTGTGCAAAACCAATGTTGACTACAAGCACTAGTATTTTCTTTTTCTTTTTTTGCAAATCCAGTTTTGTCTGTGTGTGTAAAACGTGTGTGAAACTGACTTATTTTTTTTTCTCATTTCCACATGCTTTTAATGTACCTTATAAGAATTCTGCACACACAAATACACACACACACACTGTATAATCCAGGTCACTCAATATATCCCGAGTGTGGCAGTCTAAGGTTTCGCCCCGTATTAAATGGCCTGGCCTCAATAGCAAGCCTTTTGCGAGTGATTGAAGGAGGCCAGAGCCCGAATGATGTTCTGAGGGCCCATTAGAAGAATGGAAGGCTCTTTCCTTCAGTGAAACTGGAGCTGCGATAGAAGCGGGGGCCTCAGTTAGAGGCCAGTGGACAATAGAGAGCAAAGCTGCCATGTCAGGTTTCACTCTCTCTGACACCTCCATAATCTGCCACCCTGTCCCATCCGAGGCTCCTGATTGGAGAACTATTGACATCTTGGGGGTGGAGCTAAGAGATTGTATAGGATGTATGAGGCCCTTAAATTACAAGACAGCATGTACTATCAGTACATTCAAAGCCTCATTACACAGATGCCTTAGAGATAGATTGCAGAGGACCATCCTGTAATGACTGTCTACAGATTCTGATTGGCCAGACCAGTGCTGACATGAAAAATGACATGAAAAACAAATCTGAATGGCTTTTTCTGATTCAAATGTTTACCTAAAAGCTTTGTTCTCATTCATGCACATATTAAAGGCAAGGCCTAGTAAACCATCATCCTTCAAAAAAGCTGGCATTTCTATAAAACACACGTGTTGATGTTTACTGGTGTCATATTTCTCTCTCTCAGTTTGAAGGGTGTAACAAAGCTTTCTCACGGCTGGAGAATCTGAAGATTCACCTGCGGAGTCACACAGGAGAGAAGCCGTACCTGTGCCAGCATCCGGGCTGTCAGAAAGCATTCAGCAACTCCAGCGACAGGGCAAAGCACCAGCGCACACATCTGGACACTGTGAGTAAATGAATACAACCGACCCTAACCTGTCATAGCTGCAACTCAAAAAGAAATGCCTCAAAACACAAGAATACAAACACTGCTCTTTACTGACACCATCCTAAATATAGAAATCAGCAGTGTTGGGGAAACATAAACTAATAGCCTAGTTTTACTAAATGATTAATATATTTAAGTGTGGCAGTAGTTTTCATTGGAAAGACTGTTTTAGTGAATCGTTTCGTCTTAAACGGTCCTCCTTCCTCCTATGTAGTGTTGGCAGTCTGATTCATTCTATTGAATCGGTTCTACCTAAATCATCCTCTCTCTATGTAGCACTGAAAAGTTGGCACATTATTACAAATCAGTTCATCCTAAAATGTTCTCACTTTTGT